AGTGACTGGTTGCAGTTATTAGTAATAAGATTTATACATATAGTCGTTATCGGTGAAGAGCGAATTCGATCGAATTGGAGCGTCTTTGACGTACCTTTGCCGCCGACAAAAGCCTCGTCGAGACTTGGGGAAGCAGTTTAAGCCGAAAATCCAGCTCTCGAGGGAGGAAAAGCATCGGGCAAGAGCGGTCGTTAACCGAGGAAAATGAGGCTGAAATTTCACTCATGCCGAGCGAAAGTCTGAGCCCTTTCATCGGTGCTGAAGGTTCATCGACGCTTTCTCCAGAGCTTTCTTCTGGAGAGCCACATCCCACCTTTTATCGAGGGCGGCAAAAGAAGGGACCTCCGGAGGTTTCCGGCTCCTCTGGTGGAATAAAGGTTCCGGATTCCCTGGGAACCGGCTTCCCGGGGACACTCCCCGTTGAATCCATTCTCTTTAGGAGGCAGGAGCTTGAATAGAATCAGCTGATGCCGGCGGAAACTCGCCGACGAAAGCTCGCCCGAGTCGTGCCGATCGATCGTCGACGACCCAAAGGCAAGTGGAACGATCGTTACTCCTCGAAGCCGTTCCAGCGAGATCGTGTTCCCGACTTCCCGTTAAATGGGAGTATATTAATATTCAACGTGCCCGGGGAAAAAAGAAAGCGGAAAAATTCGAGGAAAACGGCGTTGCTTACCGATATGTGGAACGATCGTTACTCTTCTCGATCGATGAGGCTGGTGTTCGATTGAACTCCGAGAAGCGAGTTCGGGATTACCGGGAAAAAAAAAAGAATTCCAAAGGAAAATTGGATCGTTTCCCGATCTCCAAGAAATCTATAACATTATAAAGCATTAGATTCGATAACACTGAAAAGAAAGAAACTGAGTGAAAACCGCGTTTTCGTCCAAAAGGAACAATATTACCGGTTCTCCGTTAAAAATCTACGCTTACGGATTAATAGTGATAGTATTTAATTGAAAAATTAAAATGAATTCACGCTTTTTACCTGAAAGGTTCAGTAGAAATGTACATTCTCTTTCATTCTACTGGTATTGATTACTAATCACTCTTCAATCACTGATCACTCTTACAAAACATGTTTTAATCAATCCAGGTGATTTTAAAGACCCAATCGAGTTTTTTTTCGTGAAAAGTGTACTTATGTAGTCAGCAAATGTTGTGCCACGTCATCTGTACATCTGCGTCGGTAAAAAGTAATTCATAAACAATTACATAATGTGATATAATCATTGCCACTTTTTGCCATGTTGCATTTCTACCCTGGACCATTTTCTCGGCAGTTTCTTCTTGAAGTCACGTCTGCCGTATGTTTGATTTTCCGTTACGTATTACCGATGGTAATCACAGCCTGTAATTACATACCTAATGCATTTTCCGATGTCGGGAACAAGCAGGTCACGAGTTTTAGCGTTCACTTATTACCAGCTTCTACGTACGGATTCTCACGTCCTCCTTTGCACGTAATAATGCACCCGATGAGACGAGATGAGCTCGTGATTCTCCCGAGAGTCCCTGATATAACACCGTGCAGAGTAATTACAAATAGCCATTTTCCCCGGGGAGTTGTTGAAGCATCGCTTGGTAAAAGGTGCACCAAAAGAGAGGAGAGAATAGCAGGCGTTATTAGAAAGCACTTTGAAGAAAAGCCTCTCTGTAGAACAAGCGCTCTGCGGTTAAATTTTTGATGCTACTCCCTAGACACTTAACAATTTCTCCGAAGGCGCAACAACAAACTGCTCTCCAGGAAGTTCTTGTCGCAACATTTTGCCTGTTAATCGTAAAATCTCCTTTCTTGGAATCGGAGTGATTTTGATTTTTACTCTGGAATTTTAGAGATTTCCGCAGTTCTATGTGACGCGCACTTTCTGGCGATTTCAGAGCTGCGGAGAAATCGCTTGATGTTTGTACAGTACATGTTGACTGCTTAGAATAAAATAAGATAATTCGATGACACGGGCAATTTCGCCTTGGGTTCTTGCTCGGTAAACTCCCCGTGCTTCGCTGATTGTAGCGCGCGATGTTCCGCTTCACACTCGCTCAGGTACTGGTTAGGTTTTTTTACCCACTTTGCGGCTCCGTGAGAAGAACATGGCTGATAATAGCCGACGTCCTCGGTGACGAATATCCTACTCCATTGCTCAAAATTTCGCGATCAACAATTATTTCCAGGACACGCTACTCGCGATAAAAAAAAATTAAAATTAGTGCACAACTCCCACGCTCGTTGGAAGCTATTTAGCTTGAAACGTCAATAATTAATTTAGAAAGTAACGCACTAGTAAAAACAAAAATTGTAAAAAATGAATATTTCACGTTTATTTTTTCCTTCCCTTCTTGGCATGCGAAAATGCACAAACTTAGCATAAGAAGGTTCGCTAAAAAAATATGATTTATCTGTACAGTTAATTATTTCTCACTCTTCATTAGACTCTCGTAGAGCGGGCTAATTGGGCCGTAAAATATTTCTCTAAGGTGGGGTATTACTTCCCTTTCGACTCGATCTTCCCTTTAAAATCCGACACCTTTCTCCGAGAGCTCTCACGTGTCGACGACGCGACCTCGGCGATCAATTTTTGAGAACGGAGGTCATATAAGGCCGATATTGCGACGACGTGACGCCTAGAGGGGTTGTATACCTTTAAAGAGGTCGCGTCGCGACGCTCCCTGGACTAAAGCCGCTTAAGTAAGCCCCCAACGTTTACCTAGAGCTGATGACAGAACCGTTTTACAGGGTGCAGGCTTTTAAAAAATAGCCAGGAAATTAACGCGCCATTTATTACCGCCGTATATTTCCCAGAAGAAATTTAGAGCGTCATGTGACGCGATCGCATTTTACGCGCGCTTGAAAATAATACGGATCCTATGAAGACCCTTAATATAAACATTTTCATCGTTACCGACTTTGCGTGTACTCGTCTGCATTATTCTGTATCTTTCGATACCAGGAATCCATTGCTTTTGTACATGTGAAAACTCGGTGCAATATTAATCGTTGCGTCGCCGCAGCGTCGCGTCGTGTCTGCACCTGAGTCTTCAGTCAACGGAATAAATCCGAAAAATAAATATTGATGCAGCCGAAAATGCTTAATCGGCATTCGAGAAATACACGGGATGTACAATAGAATATTTCTCGGGCTTGGGAATAAAGAGAAGATTTTATGTTGAATTTATTGCGATCATTCGGGAATGTGTTTGGCTGAAGTACTTGAGGATATTTGAGGAAACGTTGAATTTGTGTTTTCTACGTGGTTTGATCGAGGAATGGTGCTTTCCTTCTCTTGAGATGTTGCTTGAATTTCCAATTTCTGCAAGTTTTGATTGAGAAGTTAGTCGGAAAATTGTGCTTTTTTCCCCCTCACGAATTTGGCGAATAAACTGGCGTCGCGCACCAGCTGGTCGGGAAACGTCATTTAGCGGTGACGCGCGATTTCAGCCCAACTAAGTGCTGCCGGTACTTTCTAATCGTGACTTTGAAGTTAACCGAACGGAAAAAAAAAGCCCCGGTAATTGAGAGGAAAGTCGGCGGGGGATTTTAAGAGGCGCCTAGAAACTGCAGATTTTCCTGCGTGGTCTCTTTTCGCGATATACGAGACGATAGACTTACACGGCAGTTCCGCGGTTCTTGATTGGCTCCAATCGCATTTACTAACTGGTTGATGTCAAATGTTAATCCAGTCGTTTCTAAAATCCCACGATAACAGCCGCAGGTAATCGCAGGAAAACTTAAAACCTGTATCTCTTTTCTGATTATTTTTTAGAAATAATCGAGGCATTATTTCCCGAACGGCAATAAATGTTCAATGAATCACTGATAGTCATTCCTTTAGATTGCGGAATTTTTCGACATTCAGCATGTCGATATAAGTCAACTTACGAGAACACTTGCTCAAAGCTAGTGTTGGAAGAGAACGAATGCATAATTACGGGTGTCATTCAGAAACTTCATGTATATGCAGAACGAGGTTATACGAGCCGGCGAGTTTCAAACGGCGATCGCTATTTTTTTGTACCCGTTCCAGTGATTTATCTCAATAAGGATCTAAGCAAAACTTAGTCTCTACGCCGATCCATTAACGGCGTGACTGTATAAACGAGCCGACTCGTAATCCATGGAAGGAACATCTATAGCCGTGCTCTTCTAAGACTCAGTATTTATGCACAGCTCGCAATATCGATACTCCTTTACCAACACTACATCCAAGTCAATCAAATCTAACAAATTAGTTAAAAAAACCAACAACATATCCATAATACTATCCTAATAACTGTTATCACACTTAACGGGGGTGTATTTATCTGATCTCATTACAACAATTAAATTTGCCCGTAATAATGAGCGTAGTTTAAGTAAAACATCTAAGGAAATGAATTTATCCCATATTCCGTGTTGTCGCCACGTAACTCACAATCATGTAACGTTAGTTTAACATAAAAAAGAATAATGACTAGAACCACTTTCATCATAATCGTTACGTACAAAATCTACAGTATTAATAATAACGCATCAATTAAAGATACGTATAAATTATCAACTCTTACTACTAGAAATTCAGGAGAATTCTCTTACAGAATTGACCGAATTATGCAAGCTGGGAATCCGGATCGATCGGCGGGTTCTAATTAAAATCGCACTAAAATCAATCAACTTGACAAAGTCTAGTGGAAATGGGTCGATAATTATTTCGGGCACGCAGGACGTGGTGCTGGGACGATTGCGCGAAATAATTGATCACTCCTTGCATCGTTGTAAAAATGGGAGAAAATAGGTAAATAAGATCCCGGGAAAATCGGTGCACCGAGTCTGGTCATGCAGCGTGTCTTCCTCGCCGGCATATGCAAATGCATCGAGCTGCGGTGCGGATCGAGCAGCCACTTTTATCCCTTACAAGACAATAGGTACGAATGGGTATCGTTAGAGCAATCTTGCCATCAGCTCCCGGCGGCAGTGAACTCTACAAATAAACGGATATGTAATGCAGTGTGAATCAACGGTACAGGGCTGGAGGCGCTGGAAAGAGCTCTCTACTGCTGGGAGGATGCACTTTCTGCGTTCAGCTCGTCTCTCAACAACGACACCCTCGCTTTGCCGTCCAAAGCCGATGCAGCCTTTACTCGCGATGTCCAGGAGCTCCTTGACCTAGGCTACCATATACAGAACAACGCTGAGCTCCTCTTCATCGATCAGGTATTGCCTCTTCAATATTTACGATACACACTGACAATAACACGTACATGGTCGGGCCCTAGAAAAGAGATGAATCCTAGTTAAATATGGGAACTTTGGGAAATTTCTATTAATTTATACTTCATTCGAAAAATGGGACTCGTTATCGATTAGTCGACTAAATAAATTATAACAGTACCATTAAGAAGAATTACTAGTTTCTGTACATGTGTATTATTATTGGGTCACTAATTTTCTTTGGAGATAATTCTATGCTTAATCCTTTGTAACCCAATTTTTTGATTAAGTCAAGCAATTTATACAACGCGAAATTTGGAAACATTAATCTTCTGATATTAATTGACTGTATATTTATAAATTTATGATTTATATACATTTTTAATCATTAAAATGTTTTTAGATTTACCGCGTTACGTAGGGGTGGTACAATAATGTGCTATTTTAGGTATTGTCGGAAAAATAAAATAAGATTTTCAAAAAGTAGCGGTAAATAGGTATGTAACGGGGTTAAATAAAACTGCCAGCAAGGCGGCAAGAAGTGATCAACATTACCGGAGAATACATTATTAATTAATACGTGGTTCGTTTTGTTGCAAGAAATACATTTTCGAACTTTAATACATTTTTCCGCGAACACATGGAATGGTCCAATCTTTTTTCAGAGGGAATGCTAAAATTTTACGTAGTTTCTTCAACGTTGGGAATGATAAATCTCAAGTAGGTTCGGCGCTACCTAATGATAGGGTTTTGAAAATGACATAACATGCATAACGCCTATTGAATGGCTAATACGATGCGTACATCGTGCGTGGGCAAGACGTACCGAGTCTAGTAACTCGATCGTAAGTGTCACTGAACCGAAGTAATGGAGAATAGACATACTAATCGACCGAAGGAAGGATGATATCGAGGCGCAGATTTATTCTACCAAAAGTTCTCCAATTAACGCGAATATGTTCCTTGTCTCGTAAAAAAGTTGGCTGAAACTTCAGCCGGAAACGTCGCGATGAAAAATTATTAACCAAAGAGCAACCGAATTATTCGAATTGAGTCCATGTCAGAGATAATGCGACCATCTTCGAGTCGAGGCTCATTTGCTGATCGGTGATAACAAGTATCAGCATCCAACGTCATTTGTACACGTCCCTCGAGCTGTGCACATTATTTACTCGTTAATCATTATTTCAGGATGGAAAGAATTCTTGAACTTATTCAATTTACTCCCTGCCAAGTCGGTGCAATTAATGCACTGAGTCATTTAATCTAACAGGAAGAGTCATCATTTGTCTCGCAGGAGGAAATTCGCGGGCCAATGACAGGGTTCGTCTCGCAGCACTCGGGGCTATCATCATATAAATATTTAGGCACGTTGCATACATAATGTCCTCGTTGAGGAACTGCATTACTGCACCGGCAGAGCGGACCTGCTCTGTATGCAAATGAGGACATGGTTGAAATATTCTTTTCCGCTTTAGTACGCGGGTTCAATAATTTATTTTATTTGACTAATGTGCGTAATCGCGACTCTCGTGCGAAACAAGGACTACGATAACATTGCTTGTAAAATCATTTTTCCGTGTATGCAGCCAAGAGGCTGATATCTGCATTTACTTATTATTTATGGAAAGTCCCATGATGTAGCTAAAATAAATTATTTTTAGGGAAAATACGTTCCTAGTTAAGAAATCATTCACTCAGGGTAAGCTGTAGTCATTCAACCGGACACTATCCAATCATAAGTAGAATCATAGGTAGAGGATGTGAACGCCACCGACGATGTCGAAGTGAAAATTATCATTGATAACCGAGCTCGCATCTGTCCCATACCACGCTACTTATAGCGTCTTAACGGTGTAATTGTGCGATCGAACACATGTATTTACCGCGAAAACTGAAAGTCACCCGGATTGCTGGAAAGTTGAGAATTATCCCGGCATCGCGTAACTCTTAATTAAAGGCAAAAGCCGAGGAATCGAGCACCAATTGGCCGGTAATTTACGAGAATTTTTCTCTCGCAGCATTCCGTGCTATTCCGCAACGAGAGCGAGGAAAGCGAGAGCAGCCACAAGCCATCAAACGTGGGCACCCGATTGTCCAACAAAGATAAACAGGATGCAGCATCTTCACCGGAGTCCTTCGAATCGGCCAGAGACGGGGTACGAAATAATTTACTAAAAAATTGTAAAAAATGTTCATTTAATTCCTACGCAATTTCACGTTACTACATGAATTACTAAGCGAGATAAAAATACCATAACACCAATTCACAGGTCGCAGATTTGCGGGAATTCGAGGAGTTCTCCGAGTTCTTCCCTCATTTCGAGAAGCAGAAGCTGTACCACACTGCGCTTAAACACCACGAAGATAAAACCATCCCCTGCAGGTAGACGTGCCATATTTAGTAGGACAATATGTTTTATAAAAATCGCCTTTTTAATTCTGTCATCGCAATTTGGAGTACTCTTGGTCCGAGTTTCTGATAAATGTTTCGAGTGGCTTGGTGAGTCTGCTGTTATCTCGAGTGGCCGGGCTTGTCTCGTTTTCTAACGAGCCAGTCTCGAGTGCATAGCATAATCGAGCTCATCCTAATTACCCAGTACTAGAACTACCCTGATGTATTTCTTTTCTCTTGTTTTCAGGCGGCTACACACGGAACTCGTAAAGTGCGGCTCGGATGTGGAGTACCTGGCGAAGGTGCACTGTATTCGGCAAGCATATTCAAGACTCTTCAGCTGTCCAGGGACTGCGGTATGGATAGCCGACATAGGACGACAGGTTATCAGTGACCTGATAATGTACGCCGATCGGGTACGTGTTTGTCCACATTCTTGTGAAACGCCACAAATTTGTTGTAGTAACAAATTCTGGCATTAAAAAACCTGCAACCAATTTATGGTATTATATCATCTGCATCACATTCTTGATCCTACAAAATCTACAACAAATTGTTTCATATTAAAAATTGAAATAAATTTTGTGGCATTAAAAATCGCAACAAACGTTTGGTACTACACAATGTGCAAACCATTTTTCACGTTACAAATTTCCAACGAATTGTTAGTATTAAACATGTACAACGTACACAGGATCCCAAGGACTACCTGACACATTACGAGAAGATGATGGAGTTCCTGCAGGATTCCGACAACCACGCGATGATGCAGGAAGAGCTCGCTGCCCGGGGTGTCAAGTGTATAAACTTTTATGACGTCCTCGTCGATTTCATTCTGCTGGACGCCTTCGAGGAGGTGGAGAAGCCGCCGTCGTCCATCAAGGCCATACTACAGAATCGCTGGATCTCGGCTAGTTTCAGAGAAACGGTAAATGTAATAGATACGTCGGTTGGGCATTTTTGTATTATTACTTATTACACGCTTCCTGGGGTTGACGGGAAAAATGTGTATATCTATATCCGTTCCAGGCCATAGGAACCGCGGTGTGGTCCGTGCTGATGGGCAAACGTCAGATGCTGAAGTACGATAAGGGTTTCCTCGCTCACTTTTACTCGATATCGGAGCAGGTCTCGCCGGTCCTTGTTTGGGGCTTCCTGGGACCGGAAGGAAGTCTGCGCTCCACCTGCCAGTACTTTCGCGATCAGGTCATCGAGTTTCTCGTTGATATATTCAATTTCTTCAAGGTCAGGTACACGAATGTCGACGATCTCGCCGAGGACGTACTGAAGGAAATGAGGGTCAGGGTCGAGAATATAAATCAGAGGCTATCCCTGGAAGGCTGTTAGTAGAGCCGGAGTCGCTGGTGATAATAGCGTACAATTTCGCCGCAGGAACGGAAGATAGTCGACTCCGGAGTTGCGCTTTCGTCCCAGCTCGTAGTTCCTCGTAGAACCGCAGCTTGGAAATTCTTCAGCCTTGACCATTGTTCCAAAACCATGGTAATCATCCGGCTGAGAGAAAGTATTTCCTTCCGAGTCATTAGATTTACGCTATATGTAGGAAAAAGGTGCGAGTACTCCATACCTCTAGACAAGAAGAAATTCATGCGGTTTGAGGATTGCGTCGTATCGATACGATTATTACGCCGGGAAAGGTAGTCGTTTGATAAAATATACATTATAATTATCTGCAGGCATTGAAAAGCAAAGGTCGATAATTGTGCGAGATCGCGTTTCTATCCGACAACGAGGCGGATTTAATTTTGCGAATGTATTTCCTTAAATTTGCTTAATGAGGATGCTATCATGTGGTATGGTCACGTCGATTGCTGCCGAATCAAACAATCTCGTCTTATATTAGCGCGAAAAGATCACATTCCCAAATTCGTTTTACTCGAATTTGTAAGCCTCTTTTTCTTGTTACCTTTTTACCTTTGTACGTTTTAATTCTAGGGCTATTTGACTAACCGGCGTGAATGCCAAACTGCCTACTGTACTGTCATGAAATATGGTTTGGGAGACTACTAGTGTCTAATTCCACTAGTTTGGACGTGTTTTTCACGATTGAATACCTCGAGACACAACAATGATAGTAATCTGTAGTGCAGTAACATGTAATAAGTCGTCTTATACGTAGAAATATGTGATAAGTCGCTCAGCACATTTAATTTATTAAGACATTATCGTAAACCATAGTTCCTCATTCAAATGAAAATGCATGGTATGAATTTCTTAATTTATATATATTTTGTTATAATGATCATTAGGTTGCGACAAATATGTATAGTAAATCAATGATTAATATATATACGTTTACACGTAATTCAATGTAGTTAGAATTGTTTCATTTAATTCTGATAAGTTAAAATGGATAACTTAAATATTTTCTTCAAATGTAAATCGTCATGGCCTCATTTATTACGTAAGAAAATATTCCAAATTTATAATGTATTAAGTTTGGGCTTATAAATTATTATTAGGTGAATGTCTTTGATATTGAATAACAATGTCGTAAAATATTAGGTCACCATCATTGTCCGTAGTTTATAGACAATGCACTGTCCAAAGTATTAGTGCTTTAAAAAATTGTTATCAGGTAATTCCAATAATTGATATTACCATTATTTTGTTTTATGCGAAATCGATTACCACCCTCTTTAAGTTACAGATATTTTTTATTGTCAATGGAACCAATCTTAACAAGTCAAGACGAGCAGAAAGTATGTCGATACCGTGATATGTTTATTAACACGAATCCTTTTATAACATCCCATACGTACTAATATGCGTTTCATAAACATTAAAAAATATCTCTGTTCAAGATTAACATGGAATATAGAATTAATTTGTCATTAAACGTCGTGTACCTTTTATAGAATATTTTTATCTTATCAGATATATAGGAATCTCTGTTGATTAAATTGTTCCTGAGGTTGAGACAAACTTAATCCATTGTTAAAATGTTTACAGCTTTTAAGGTTAACATAATATAATGATGTGTATTGTATCTCATTCTTTCATTTATGACAATGTTATTACACGAATAAGCACATTTACAGGTCATTCCAACTAATGTATAATTTACAAAAAACCAAAAGGTTTCATTTATAGATGAAAATATGAAGTTCCGCCAATTTGTTAACATAATTTATAATTCACTTTTAGTATATTGTTTCAAATAATACCTAATGAACTGCTAACATATTTGTATTTAATCAAGTTTGACAACCATAATGCAATATAAAATTCAACACATCCCAGAATTAGTTATTTCGACATTTTATTAACACGTTAAAATTATAATAACTTAATCCGTATGCATACATATGCATTGTTTACAGATAGAATATAACGAACAGTGATTTTACATTAACCAGAGATGTAATGTACTTTTTAGGGTGGAAGGTTTTTTGAATTAAAAATTTGGACATTAGAATTTGAAAAACAAATATGTATTGCTGTTAAATATATTGCCTCCCCCAGGCTGTCACATTCTTTATAAATTATTCAAAAAACATGTCAAACAATTCATCATCAGATTCTTCTTCGTCAGTTGATGGAACATCAGGCATTATTTGAGTAATCTTATGTCTACGTTTATATTTTGCAAAATCTTCTCTAACTGTAACAAAGCAAAAACATCATTACCATACATTATTGCTTATAGGAGTGGGTCATAAATTCAGTCTTTGAAGTACATAACTGCATAAATTATACAAAATGTGTCACTAATAATACCTTCAACATTCTTCTTTGCTGTGACCCACACTGGTTGATATAAACGTTCTGGATCAAGTAATATTTGAGGATATTTACAGTCATCTGCATGTAGTTTTAACCATGGTATCCCTAGTAGGTAATTATTACAATGTTATTGTAAAACATTAATAATTTTCAACTCAAATAAAAAATGTATTGTATAAAAACAAAATGATTACAGCCGATAACATAAAATCCCACATAGATTAAATATAACATTTACATTTATGAGCTTTATAAAGGGTAATCTTGATCTCTCGTCCTAAATTTTCATGTGTTGTTTCCTCTTCGATTACTGTCCCAAATAAATTGAATCCAATGTAATACTTATTGTTATCTACAATCGTGCTAAAATTATAGCATGAAATATAACCTTATTGAAATACTGGTTACCGTAAACAGTGTACAGAAAATTATGTACGCTTCGGACATACCTAAACTGAAAATGATCATCTTTGATACAAAGATAATAATCTGTCACGTCACAAAGCATTACACGAATAACAACAGTGACGTCCGTTTGGTACCACATAATCTTTGGTATTCGTAAATCACAAATAAGTTTCGGGCAGTCCATATTCCGATTTAAGTTACAATGAAGGAATCAAATCGCCCTATCGATTTCTGTAATGTTTCACAAAATCATGCTTAATCATTTTATAAGTAATATTGTGTAATACAAAAAATGATCCACCGGAAAGAATTCAAAACAAAACACACCGGTAGCTCTATATTGTATGGATGACAAGGTGTGTTCCCATGGGGGTTTTATTTTTCACTCGCTGCGTCTTCCTAAACGCCGCCATATTGCAATATATTAAAAGTGTCATTGGTTAGTTATGTGTTACTATTCTAAGCGAGAAGGAGAGAGAAGACCCAAGCACCGATTTAATTGACCTTTGTTCACAAAGGAAGCTAGTAAATCATAGCGCATGCTCATAATTCATTGAAAGGTAGTTTCCTTGTGTTCAGGGATAAGCAAGACGATTATCGTAGATGTACATATATTTCCCGTGAATGGTGTCAGATGGCGCAAAAATAGTTTAGTTATTCAGAATTTCAACGTAGAGGCACCTCATACATTCACGTAAATTGTTTTTTGGAGCCATAACTTATTGAACTTATCCGGTTATTATACTCCGATAAATTCCAACCTATTTTCCCTTGCAGAAGTGTTTCCATCCTCCAGAACTTGAAAGTTCTGTTTACAAAAGAATATCCAGACGACACAAAGTCAGATGACAACTCACGAAACATCTCGAATTTGGGCAATTTCGAGTTATCCTAAGAATACCTCGTAAAAAGAATCATGGCAACTAAAAGTTGTACAGTTTAATGTAAACTGTTACAATTTGTTCATACTGTTAGGGACGAAGTGTTTCTGTGGCATTGTTTATGTATCTCACTCAGCGTCTATTGTATATCTATAGTTCTTCTTGAAATAGAATTGCTACAGTATTTAATAATGGCTCGATACTCCAGCGATTCAGACTCAGATCGCAGTGGCAGGTATCGGAAAAGGCATTCTAGAAGATCGAGGTAATATTCACCTGTGCCAGTATTGTATGAGGTTACCTGGCGTTATTCTGTGATCTGGAAAATACCCATTTCTTTATGGACTTTTTATATACTCATCAGATCAAGCAGTTCCGACTCTAGTGATAGTTCGTCATATAAAAGGAGATCGTCAAAACACTCAAAGGGCAGACGCCGACATCGATCACGCTCCAGAAGTAGAGATAGATCATCTAGAGGTTATAAATCGTCACAAGGTACTTCTCGACGATATCGGTCACGAAAGTCTAGATCATTTTCACCAGAACATATTAAGAAAAAAGTCAGATCTACATCAAGGGAAAAATCAGGCAGCTGTTCCAGTAATTCACAGTCTAATGTAAAGTCTCTTATATGCGATAAGATACAAAAAGGTAATGTCATTAATGACATTAACAGCAAACATGATCATTATATGTATTTGACCACATTCTGAAAATATTACATTTGTAAGTTCAGATGAATTCTCCATCGAACCTAGAATTAAAGAAAGTGTACTAGACGAAATCAATTCAGAAGGATTTATTCAGAGGCCATTCTCATCGTCGGCACAGGATGAGCAGAGCAAGTTTCGGAATATCGTTATAGATATTTCTACAGAAACGATCAGAGTACCTCCTGTGAACAATACATCTATTCTTGTGGATAGTATATTTCACACATCGGTAAAAAATATTCGATACTTTGAAAAGTGTTGTTTCTATATTTTACATTACCTGTTTATTTATTTCAGATAATGGTCGACCATGATGCAAGATTTGATAAATGGGTGAAAAAATTATACACTCTTAGACAAAAAGCTATCACAGAATTAATACACACAAATGTCTCTTGATGCTTCAGTTTTCTAGTTAATGTGTATTTATCCTAATAAATTGTTTTATATAGAACGTAAAATTGGCTCTGTACAAAAATTGACATTAAATTACACATTCGACACAGTGTCATTATATCTTTTAATGAAAATCCATGTACCAGTTATGAAACTTCTGACAGGCGATATGTTTAGGTTTTTAAAGAGTTTATTAAAAGAACCAATGTATGTATATTTCTTTTATTTATTATAGGAATTTACAATTTTCATATATGTACTTACGAACTAAATATCGAATAACAACTTCTAACAACGAAAGAATTGTGGCTTTGGTTTAATTGGAAGATATTACGTTGCCCCAGTCATTGTTTTAGACTGCTCTACCATATTGATCATCAAGTTGTTTATATTTATAAAATTGGGTCGATTTAATTTATTTTTCAATTGTTCTGTATTTAAAACAAAATTGTACACACAATACACTTATTTTTGTTTTGTATTCTCAACAGATCATCTGTCAAAATTAAAATGACGGATGAAAAGAAAAATTTTAATTCAAAATAATAATAGTAAATACAAAAATGCATGCAACAGGAACTAATATTTGTAAATGTGTTTTAAACAAAACAGGATTAGGGAGTACTTCTTTACTATTTTGAAAAACAATGTAATATTTACTAAGTGTTAATATAAGGAGGAACACCAGAAACGAGCAAATTTGTTCTGAAGAAACACGTTCCATTTATACTACGTTTAATGATGTGAGGAGTTAATAATTGCAAGTAAAATGGAAAAAACCCTTTAAATATCATCAACTTCAAAATACACAAATATCATGAATTGTTACTATTTATCTTGTCACTGCAACTGATTGGAATGTGCGACTCGATACACCTCTTTTCAATTCAACCACGAATAGTTGTACTGTTCATACCAAATCTTTATGTACGTGTGCACTAAACATGTTTTTAGTGATGAAATAGGCATATGTAACAAATACGTATGTCGTAAATTGAAACTTTAATAACATTTGTCATATAATTGACGGAATATTGAAGGGACGAAAGTTTCTTTTTTTTCAGAATGACGTGATTAAGGTATTAAAGATTTCTGACTTTGTTCCCTTTCTCAAAAAAGCGATTATTTATGATCAACATAAGAATTAGCATCTTTTACATAGAAGTAATCACATTGAAACACTGTTTCGATTAGGCCATACTTTAAATCTTAGCACAAAGAGTAAATATCCTCTCTCTTATCATAACCCTCTCTTTTGTGGTTTAGTTTATCCATTACTTGGCCTTGATTAAAGGAACTTAAAATAACAAGTGTATAATAAAAAGTGTACTTGTATAAATTCTTGGCAAGGAAAATAGAGAAGATAATTAACTTATAAACATCCTGATAATATGAATCATATGGGTGCTAAAATATCTAAGGACTTTTAAGGCTATGGCAAACTAAACCTACCACTCGCAGCTGAAAGACAACAAAACACTGCTGATTTTTAATTTAATGTTTTTAAGGTTGTATTGTTAACTGGTCCAATCAACTGCAGTTGGACACTCAAGTGTAATACTCTGTTGGCAATTCATCCGTTCGATCTCATACCGGGCGGCAATTCTACACAAAATGAATTTGCCAACATGGAATTTAACAGTTGACAGAATTTTCTCTGGTATTAGTATGACATAAATATAAGGTGTATTAATTTCGCCATAGCCTTAAGAGAAAACATGTACCTATATTCTCAGTTATTCTAAATTGATATGTAAAGTAATGGAAAAACGAAAAATTACTTCTTCCCCTCTAACTTTTGACCATCGGACGGGAGTACATCTTCTAAATTTAAAATATTAAGTTCCAAGATATTCCTCCCAGCAAACTGACCAAACATACCACCTGATGCGCTACGTTTAAATACTGCAAATAGAAATATTTTTAAATTAATAACCTGAATTTACTGCTGTTATAATGTTTAACTTACCATTACTATTGTTTACTTTCTCCAACATGTACGTTGGTAAATCTTGGCATTCTTGGGAAATATAAGGTCCAACACTAGACATATCAGTAATTGGAGGTGTTACGACTCTCATAGTTTCTTGCACAACTTCAGTATTTACGTCGTAATAGCCTGTTGAGAAAAAAATTGTTCGAATACAATCTAACAAATGATTATTAAAAGTAAGCTGTAATTAAAAGTAATCTTACCATGGTACATTTTATTTAGAAGATCAAACATATTAATTGGTGGTAATACACGTTGGCGATTCAATGGCATAACAAAGCAACAACGTCTGTCTATATCAATGATACCAGTTTTATTCTGTTAAATAAAAATTGTAGATTAAAAAATATGGTAAAGTTTTATAAAAATGTCTAAAGGACTAAGACAAAAATTTTATCCCTAAACGAGACATGCATAATGTTACTTTTATGTTTGCAAATGCAGTAAAAATAGAAAACTTACATTATAGAAATCATGAATGAAACGGCCTTGTCTTCCTCCACGGAAGTCAGGAACATCAATCTTTTCATAATCCCCATTTTCAAGATCAATTTCAAAGCGCTCTTTAAAGAAACCTTTAACTGGATATTCTATAGAACGGAAACTATTAGCTGCTTGCATGACTTCATGTTGTTCTTTTAAAATGTCATCCAGATTAGGCATTTCAGGGTACTCATCATGATGAGTCAAAAGTGTCAGAGGTATTTGATTATGAGCATAAGGCAACTTGATCGAGTTGTCGTATGGAATGCTATACCAGCCAGTACGTAATCTATGCATCTGCGCTCGTCCATATTGCCTGTAGATAAATACCCCGCTTATCATACCAATGCTGACTACAAGCATTGCTGCCAAACAAAGAGCCGTCATGGCATTTGGTCGAAGAACTCGATTTTCCAAAATTAGGTAGTGCCCAATGCATTTCCTCTTTGTAGTTTGAGACTCCAAATCAATCTTAGACTCGTCCTAAACACATAAAATGGTCGTTTACTCTAATAAAAACTATTTAAAAAAAAGACAAAAAAATCATGCATTAAAAATAATGTACATGTGTGCCAATCAAATTGTGAAACTAATACTGCAAAGAAATAATGGCTAAATGAAATAACGAATGTTACACATCTTCATGATACATTTACAAGATTAATACCAATTAACTGTACACCCATAGCTGTTATCTTTCAGTCTAGTGTATGACCTGCCATGTTTTCATAACATCGTGTTGTGTTGTCAAAATCCAAAATAATGATTTTCAAAGATTATTTCACTTTATGTACAGCGATTGCTTGTAACGTGTATCCTTATTTGTTGTCTAAGTGCTGTGTTAATTATTGGACATTAGAAGACCATATTGGAATTAAGTCTCTATTAAATTGTTTACGATGCTTTATCCGAATGTTTTCAGATCAGACAAAACATCATAAAATGTTTATAAACAGTTATTACTGAAAATAAATTCATTTCAAGAAACATAATCTAACTGAAGTACACAGTATACATTAATGCACCTTTGGCATCAAAAGTCCTGTTATCAATCATAATATATCCAAAGTCACAACAGAATTCATGATCAAAGTATCGTCCATAACGAATACACTAAAATCTACGCTTAAAAATCCGGAAAGACCGATTAAAATGGAATTGAGTAAAATCTATAAACCTTTGGATTTTCCTCGACAACCAATGGCTGCTCCATTTTATCCGAAGCCGCCGTTACCGTTTTTTCCCCTCCAATGGCTTTCGTGAGAATCGTCATAATTGGGCTGGTTTCGCTCAGATAAAAGCAAAGCTAACAGGAATCAATTCCTTCCAGTAGCGGCCACCGAGGAACTGCGACGTATTACTCAAATGTATAATCAAGAACTCGGCAACAATAACGCCTAACAATCCACCAACAGCGACCGAACGGCGATTGATCGGCGGCAGCGGTTCTCAGTTAGCTTCCCAACACTTTCCTCAGTGGTGATCAGTCTCCCGAAGTTCACTCGATCGCCCCCTGCGGTATCCGCTAGGTGATAAACTTCCATCTTGTCCATTTGTTTCATCGCATAATTTACTTTTTGGTCTTCCACCTTTATACATTTTGATACAAATACTGGTTACGAATCTTACGGCTTCAAGTAGCCGTTATCAGCCGTTATAAACAGTTATAAACAAACATCAATGCACATATATGCATACATTTCAAATTTCCAAGGCTGATTTCGAATGTGCGCGGATTTTTGGATGCATAAAGTGCAATCCCCTTAATAGCCAATGAGAATCTCTCTTAGAGGTAAATAGGTGAACTCTCATTGACTATTGACGATATTGCGCATGCGCTTTGCACGTTTAGTTTGGGGTAATAAACTTCGTGCCTGTGTAGAAAACTAGGGACGTATTATACGTTGTAATATACGTGTAGAACAGAGATGAGTTGGGAGATTGCTTACGGGCAGGATCGTGCGATCGATCCTGTGCTGCCCTCTGGTTTCGTACGTTAGCTTTCACCGTTTTTTGCCCCCAAGGGCGGCGCAACGAATTTCTGGTAGGGGCTCGCGCAATCGCGATGGCTGTGCCATCTACCAGTTGCCGTTGGCGGCTCACGTATTCGTGATGGTAATACCATGCGGCAGTTGACGGTGGTGGCTTACCATTATGGCAATCTCCAAACTCATCTCTGCCAAATCAGAGATGAGTTGAGAG